CAACACAACGACATCGACAAGTGAGACCAGGAAAAAGGCCAGCAGTTCACTCTACTTAGACGAATTACTAATTCAAAAGTGTAAATTCAGACATCGTTTTACCGTCAATTTTTAGCCTAGAAAGGCTTTCCCCGAAGGGCTCATACCACCTTGTCGGACAACGGTATGAGTGACACACTTGCTCAGAAACATCTTATCGAATTACTGATGTGGAATGCATCGTACGCACTTCAGTTAAACCTGACAGGACATAGTAAATGACCAGGCGTGAGAAACAGTGGAGAAGAATTCTTTCTACGTCCTTGCTAGATGCAACTGTTCCATCTGACGAAGTCAGCAGTAAATCAGATTGCGAAAACCGTGCAAACAGGAAGGTAAACAGATTGTTGGAAACCGGCTTGGTGGTTCTTGGGTTAGCCACGTCCCATAACGAAGAAATGAAGCAGGTACGTGGAGTTGATCAGACTCCATATCCTAGTCGGCTGCATGGAGCTTCGTTGGCGACAGCCATGCAGCGACCCTGTCGCCCCCTACATGAAAATTGAAAAGAGTAAATTGATGAAGAGTCAAATCAAAGAAGTAGTGCAGCTAAAAACGGATAGAAGTTTTACATCTATTCAGATGGTCCACACACACAATGTTGGGCTATTCCGGGAAACCATTCGAGTGCATGGATGGCAACAAAAAATCAATTGGGATTTTTACCATCAAAATGATCTTCCCAAACATTGGGATGTCATCTATTTAAATGAGTTTATCCCAAACTTGATATACCTCAAGATGGGAATGTCTACTGGGAAATGATGGGAAAATGATTGAAAAATATTGGATTTTGGGGCGCCCTATTTGAAAACAAACCCATGTGCTTGCAGTACTGTCATTGCCAAGTCTTACTACAATAATATACAACAATATTATACCTGGTATGACATCTACAAGTTCTTACATGGCTATCTCTGACCATTCTTACCATTCTTGAGTATCCGAACACTTCAGGACAGATTTGTTGAACACTTCCGCCGATCGGCCACTGGCGCCCCTCCGTGGCTTGATCTTGGCAATCGTGGAGTGTTGTTTGGCCCTGAACATCCTACGTGCCTCTGAAGGCAGGGGATGCCATGGTGTGTATAGCTTTGGATACCTTCAGTCTGGTTATCAAATATGGTTCGGAAGTTCCTTTTGTTGAAACAATTTATATAATCCATCGATATACAGTGAGAGATTGATAGGAGGATTTCTGTTGCCACATCTGGTTCTTGATGAATCATCTTGGTAGTGACTCACAAAGTTGACACCTTGTTCTATAGGCGATTTGCTTACTGTTCTGCAGCAATAACTTCGGGGGTTGGGAAACGTTGTGGCAGATGCGACCTCTGTGGTTTGTGAGTTGTTTTTGCAGCAAGATTTGGGAGCCGGAACCCAGATCCAGGTTCATGGTTGGAATTGGAGAATCTAAAGGGGTTGAACAATGTTGAACACGAATTTCTATTGGAGAAATGGGGCATGCTGAGAGTAAAATATGTCATGTTTCTGGTTTTATTCCAGGATGTATCATGATGTATGTATACCAAAAAACATGTTACACTACGTTGCGTTGCATTGCCTGACTGATATCACATATATACTATAATATATGTATATATATATATATACATACATGATTATACATGTGTATGAGTCTTATCTGATGTACATATGCAGACAAGCTGCCACCGCTGCGTCCCGGCAGGCTACGAACAGGGCCTTGGCAGCCGGCTCTCAGAGGAGGAGGAGAGCTTTGGACGACGCAGGGCCTGGGCCGCCGTGGCGAATGCGGCCGTGCTTGGGGTGATGAACATCGCTGTCCTGCTGTGCTGTTTGCTGGGCGAAATGCTGGATGGCGTTCAGCGTCTCTGTTTCCTAATTAATTTTGCTGTCTAGTTTCTAAAGATATTTCTAACGGGTTCAATCTATCGTGTTGTTACTTCAAACCAATTTGGTTGAAGATCCAAGTAGACTCGCGATTTCCGATGGACCCAGGTCCACTCTGCTTCAAGTTTCCACTGGCTTCAGCATCATCGCCATTTGGCCCGCCCTGCTGCTTGGATAGAAAGGGTGCTGGGAAATTGTGCCATGTCACCATTTTTTGTGACTTCAGAGAAGGTTTTCGGAAATCTTGGGCTTACTGGCTTTTGGGCCTGCGCGGGGCCTGAGGCAGCCAGTTCGCACAAGATTTTAGCCGACCTTCAGTTTAGTGGAAAAATCGGCGGCTGCGGCGGGCCGGTTTTGTTAGCAAATTTGTTGCTTTTATTTGAGACATCGGCTCCCGCGAGGCCCAATGGGCCGGATGAACACAAGGTTTTGCGACAATCTTGTGCGTGCTGGCCTTTGGCCGTCCTAATTCTTCAGAAGCACATAATTTCCTAAATTTTCAAAAATGCTGGAATAAATAGGATATCTATAGGTATGCAATCTATTAATGATGTCACGCTGAAATTCTTAGGAAGATACCATACATCTAAAGAAACATTAAATGCTCTGAAAAATGCACAACAGCATTTCAACAATGCATCTGTAGACATAATATTTGCTTGTGCATATAACAACTTAGAAGATTGGTCTGTAGGCAAATCGCAATACTTTACTGCTGCACTAACATATTCAACAAACATAGTCTCATCCGCTTTTGTTGATACTATTTCAGATAAACAATATCCTTTTTGTGTTGCTCTTAAAGATAGAACATCTTTGTTTGGTAAGAAATCTAGTAAAGAAGAAGATAATGAAGGAAATCATCCATTGTTGGTGGTCGATTACAGTTCACCATGCCCAGATTCTAGCAGCGAAGCCATCATTAACAGACTGGGCATGTGGGGAACGAACCTTCATGAAATATATTGAAACCTAGACTGGTGGTGAAAAATAGGTGGATCCCAGGTCGCTTTTGGGCCCATCAGGCGGGCGCCTTGCACACCTAGGTTTTCATGTAGTATAAGTATATAAAAGTAATCCCTCACATGTCATGGGTGGTGATCAACCCCTCGAGAGGAAGTGGCACACTGTGTCCAGTTCAAAGTTTTCAGGCACTTTATCATTGAATAAGCCTAGAATCTGTTGTGCACCAATGTCGAAGCCACAAAAAGGATGTGCAGTACATCGATACTTTTTGACCCCGCACCCCTTTTTACAGTCGGCGTGTGACACCTCTACGTTGAACACCATTTCAGAAATTTTCCACACCCTTTTGACCGATACCCATTTTATGGTTGCTTAAAACCACATGTTTGTTGCTGAAACCATGATTTGTTGGGTAATTTCAAAAAACCGACCCAATTTGGGAATTTGAGCAACCAGTAAGTGCAAAAAAGGGATACACCATTGGTAAACCCAGTAGTAGACAACTGAGGTTGGATTTGCTGCAAGTGGCCTCTCAGCTTTTGCCCAGCCACGTTTTGCTGGCGCTGCTCAAACCGTCCAAGGGTGGAGCCTGAACCAACGATGCCCAAAGTGGTCGAAACGGTTCGAAAAAGTGATCCAGTGAGACGAGCGCCTAGGGAGGGATGGTGATGGCTTGTAAAAGTGTGAAGAATCCCTTGACCGACCCAAAAATGCATTTCAAGTTACTCTGGTGATGCGGTCGGATTCCGGTGACCAAAGGGGTGGACGCAGGGAAGAAACCATGCATGCTGGGTGCCGGGCAACTTTACCCCATCTCCTGTGTGGTTTTGCTGCTGATTAGAGGTTGCAGTTCAGGCAGTTTAAGTGGATCTAATCTCAGTTTTCAGGGATCATGGCTCCTTTCAGATTTAGATGTCGATACCAATGCAGGCATTGCCTTTTGTCCAGACTCCGAGTAAGGGTAAAGGTAAATAATTAGTTTTGGCTTCTTTGTCCAAGACTTTTGACCCATGCTGTGCAGGAGAGCTACTTGGACCTATTTGCATGTTTCGAGAAGTTGACAGAACCAACCAGTATGATGCTTATGAAAGTATAAACGCAAACCTTGAAAGATCAAAGAAATTGGTGGCTCTTGCGAGGACTCATGTGGTAAGCCCAGCGCCATAGGTCTGAAATCTTTGGGGATGGTTATCAAGCTACCCTACCCATTTCTGGTAAGTCACCAGGTCCCCCCGACTGATTAATGAGAATGGCTATTTTCCAGTTCTAAACAGGATATTGGATATTCCAAGTAATTATCCTGGATTTGGGTGGAATTACAGAAAACGTCCTCCATTTCATGGTGCAGACCAACCCAATATGTAAATAATTTTGAATCATTTGGCTGTCTATCCCAATTGAAAAGAAATTATACCCGGATAAATCCCTCGGAAATTCATTCCCTGTATTTCCCATCAAGCAGCCAACAATTTCCCAATGAAATGATTTCAGACATCTATTGTGGTGCTGGTCAAGTCCCTGAATTTTGATGCTATCCCACTCTTGACCCCCTGACCCCTTTAAAATGGTATCTTCCAAAGAAGCCATGGCTGATACCAGGAAGCCAACGAGGCGCGTGCCGATGTCAGCATCGAGCAGGTTGGGGTCCGTAGGGCCCTGGGGCCGTGGGGCTGAGGTGATGGTGATACTATGCTATACTCCCATCATCTCCCATCCAATAGGGCCAATAGGGTGGCAACTTTACCAATTGATGGTTGATTGGCTATATAGGCTATACTTGGAAGAAACATTTTGATGGGGACCCTTGATGTCTGCACTGGAACTCCACTGAACTTGTAGCCTCGGCAAACCGGTCGCGGCTTTTGAGCCTCTCGGAATCCTGAAGCCGATACCAATTCAAGTGGACTCAAAGAGTCAAGGTGCGCCTAGGTAGGCGATCGTGGGATCATTGTGAAATCGATTGTAAGCAATCCCATTTTGTGAACACTAAATTTTGACATTCCAGATCTGATGGCCCCCCTGGATGAGCCATGGCAAGCTCTGGCCAATGCAGCCAGTTTCGTTTGCATCTATGGCCTGATAGCCTTACTTCCCTGGGCCCTACCATTGCCAGTGCCCATCTGTAATATGACCCAATTTAAGCAGCTGCGCGGAGTTGTCGTCACCACAGCACGACCACATGGCATATCTGGTTGGTTTCGACCAAAGATTGTGTTTTGGGGAACTGGCTGCTCTGGTGGTGTGGAGGGTGCTGCTTGGGAGGTGAGAGTCGTAAATTCCATGCAGCTGCTGCTTTGCGACACGGAGTCAATATCTCCAGGATCCCTCGAGGCTTCGCAAGGTTTTTGCCGCTTGGTTCGTCCTGGCTGCATGATATGGGCCTCAGTGCTTGGGGTTCCGGTTTTCTTGGCTGCACTCTTGCAGGTACTTTTGCTCTGTTTCAGCTTCCATTTCAATGCTCAGTTGGTGCTGGCTGCACCAGCAATCACATTGGCTTTGTGCACTTATGCTCACCAGGTGACGCAAGCAAGGAATCCTTTGCATCAAAGCATCCAACTGTACAGGGAGCGCATGAAAACCCATACAGCCATTGATCATTCAGGCACTGAAGTTGGAGCTTCACGATCCGTACATTTCTGCAACTTGCAGGAATTTTATTCGACGTTTGAGATGTTCATTCTGCAGAGAGACGTGTATTACGTAGTGAGAAACATCATTATGCCCTTGACACGGCCATCAAGATTATCCTTTGCTGAAATGACTGGCCCATGCTCTGCGCATTTTTTTTTTGTGTCACACACGTGGCATTGGGAGTTCCACAATGTCATGACTTGTCTTTACCAGCATGGTGAAGGAAATAGCAGGTACTGGATGGATGTATTTTCATTCAATCACCATCGAAATGGGGAAGAACAGGCACAGGTCAGCTCCTTTGAAGCTTCTTTCCACAAAGCTTTGTCTAGTCCCCTTTGCCAGGGCCTGGTGGTTCCGTTCCCTCATGCTGCGGGCTTGGGAGAATATCTATCCCGCAGCTGGTGTCTCTTAGAGCTGTTCATGGCCTTTCGGCAAAGTAACGATGTCGAGAATGTTGATGCCGGCATTGAGCGTGTGTCATTTTGCGCTCCTTCAGGTGCACTGAACCGCGGGCGCTGTAGCCCAGACTTGTGCATGGAATGCCTAGCGCTCCTTAGTACCTTGGATTTCAGGGACGCAACTGCGAATTTACAGGAAGACATGATGATGATCGCAGAATTTATACAGGACATTGGATGGGAGGAAATCCATAGGATCCTGCGTAGAAGCTTTAAGAAAATCATTGAATCTGTAGAGGGTCTTGCAACGCTTCATGCAGAGAGGGTGAAAAGTCAGTTGCTTTTGAGAAACTTCTCGCAGCTACTTCAACGTAGAGGAAGCAATACATCGGAGACGTGCCATCCCGGGCCGGAGCGATCCATCAGTGCAGGGCAGCTTGATGAGCTTCAGAGTTTCTTCGCAACTGTCTTGGATAACCGGGATATGTATTGGGTTTGTGATGAGATTGTGAAGCCTTTGACACGCGAAAAGCAAGTCTCCTACGCAGAGTTGGTAGGATGTGGCATGGTGAGATGGTTCATCTCTCACTGGTGGGGGATGCACTTCAACCTCACTGTGAGGAGTATCCTCAATCACGCGAAGGAGCAAACTGGTGAGGACGTGCGCTATTGGGTTTGCACCTTCAGCAACAACCAGTGGAAGATGTCTGAGGAAATTCCGCCCCTTGCACCGCCTTCAGAGTCTTCCTTTTACAAAGCACTTCGGAGTCCTTCATGCCTCGGAAGCTGCATGATTCTTGATGAGCGTGTGGTGCCACTGTCCCGTGCTTGGTGCTTGTTTGAGCTCCTTCAAACTTTCCTCATCCAAGATGAAGTCCCTTCCCGAGAATCTTTGAACATCTTGACGTCTTCTGGTGTGATGAACAGCGGGAAGTGCAGTATCGATACTGCTATGGCCATAGGAAAGCAATTGACCATCTTAAATCTACAGGATGCAGGCGCATCCAAAGATGCAGACAAGCATCTCATCTTCACCGCGGTGGAAAGGGCCGGTGGTTTTGCGGCCATCAATGCCAAATTGAAACTTCGGATCCGCAAAGTGATTGGGGTAGTGGCCAACCAGTTTGACCAAGATTTACGGCAACTTCATGTAGAACTTGGAAAGCACAAAGTCGCCGCTTTCTGTTGACGTTTATCACACACACGCACACGGTGCACAAGACACCGGTTCACACGTGCAAAAGAACTCCAGGAGAGTGTTGCATATTTTGAGTCTGCATAGGTGCTGCAATTCTCCTGTAGATTCAAGATGCGTTTGCCTGTGGATACGCATGGTTTGCGCACCAGGGTTTTTATTCATTTGCATGTATGTGATCATGCTGCTATGTACATGGATTCGTTTTTGTATGCATACCCTTTTGACAGCTGTACTTGCCTCTTTATACGGACTCATCATGATGGAGTCCATATTTTTTTGACAGTATCATTTCAAGCATGTGATAGTGATGTCATGAGAAACCTGGAAAGTACTCAAAGTTTCGTGAAAAAGCATGTGTAGAATTGGCATCATTGACGTCGACCGTTCTGAACTCTGATGACTCTGATAGGAGGACTTCAAAAAGGAAGCCGATCATTGGCGGAAGGTGCAATGCTTGGGATGGGGGGAGCCAGGCTTCGTCGGAACGAAATTCAGAGAAGCGACACAGTCAGCGTACAAGGAGAACCATGGAGAACCATGGAGAACCAACATGCGACCCAGGTGATATTTTTCATTCAGGTTTGCTCCTTCTGGGCAATACGTTCTTAGACAATCTTAGACATACAAATGTCCAAAAAAAATTGACTGAATCCTGCCATCTTGGGCACTATGTGCTTGTCATGGTTAGGGATTCAACTTGGCGTTGTTTCCAATGCCCCGCCAGTGGCACCATGGTTCAAATGGTTCCAACGGTTCCAGGATGCAGCAGAGCAAGCAGCCCGCTTGAAATCGGCGGAGCAACGTTTGCATCAGCACCTTGTCTGCTGTTGGACCCGGGACCTATGCCAGTCGTGCCATCGCATGCCTTTCCCGAAAGGGGTTCCCAGCTTTTGAGACATGCGGCTGGAACAGCATGGACAAGGAAGAAATCATCCCACCTCCATACAAACATCAAACATGCAATCGACATGGATCAAAAAAATCTGGCCGGGCTTGCATCACGCAAGGGTCCCAGTCACAGCCAAGCAGGCATTCAGTGGAGAATATATAGCTCTGCAAAGTTTGCAGAGATGTTTTATCTATGAACGGTATCAAAGCCGCGACACAGAATCCCTTCCCCCTGACTAAATCTGTTCTTTTTTGAGGTCCCATTCATATGCGTTTGTCCAAAGATAACAATTTAATATAATTTAATTCTTCATGAGAAGCAATGTTTCTTTTTTCCTTTTTTTTTCTCCCTTTTTTCGGGTGTTTCCCCAAGTTTCTGGACCTTTGGGTGATGGGATCGTCCTTTGAAAAGCCCAGGCTGGAGCAGCGCAAGTTGGAGGATAAGGCCAAGATCAAGGCCAGATTCGTACTTTCCTGTAGAACATGATGTCTGATGACAGCTGAGCCTCGGATTGAGATACCCTTGAGGTGTTGAATTGGGGGAGGTTCCACTGAAATGTAGCCATTCAACCGGGGTTGACTTTAGATTAGGGATCATTAGGGAGATGTAGGGAGGGGTTTCCTGACGCAACTTCAACAGAGGATATGTATTGGGTCACGTTCAGCCATGCTTGCATGGCATTCACTCCTGTGCCTATGTTTGTGGTGATTCTAGTTGAAGATGCCTTTTTGGTTGGGGGCAGAGCAAAGGGCTTAGAAAGAAAGAAACAATGTATGCTCCGAGGTAGGCTTGACAGGACCTTGAAGAATCCAGCATTTGGGTGGATTTATTTCTGATGCAAAATCGTCGTACTTTGAAGATTCTCCCAGTTTAGAACTAGTTGGATTAGTTGATAACCATGACGATCCATTAACCTCCCCACTTCAGAATACTTCAGAGACTTACGAACCAAGGGCTATCACTTACGCTTACGGCATGATTCCTTGAGGTGGGTGTTCCAAAATAGGGTACCCCACCGCGATTCCAATCGATTCCATTTCTGGTGGTTTGAATATGTTTGAATAATCTTTTTCTCTCTTTGACATGGCCACCACTTGGCGGTTGATCCCATTCTTGGACTAATCCATTTCATATCAATTTGGTCATGCACTTCACATCACTTCACTATGTCCCATCAAATATCCCTATGATCTCCTAAAATATGCCCACCATCTCGTGAACTTCGCGTTCCGTCCTCCAGGCTTTGGCTGAGCAGCTGCAATCTGCAGTGGAGACTAGCCAAGTAGGGCGTGATGTCCAACAAGACCAAGAAAACCATCATAGGACGATGGTGATATCAAAATGATTCAAAATGTAAAGATATATCACATCATATAATCATATATCACTATCTATCACTAGCTATAACGGAAATATCAGCAACTATCATTGTCTATCATTGCATCTATCATTGCCATTATTGATCTCATCTAATCTTATCTTATCTGGTCTCAATCCAATCCAATCTAATCGAAGCTAGCCCAACCTAATCAAATTTAGTCTAATCGAATCGATTCAAAACAAAATCGATCTATGCATCATTGTGCATCTATGTGTAGGAGTATATCAGTTTTTGCCTTTCGAGATGAGATCCATCCAACTGACTGGAATCTATTTTCAGGTGAGCCACCGAACCATGGGATGTCGGGTGCTGTCAGTGACTTGCTCTGTAGGTCAGCGGATATCCCAACTCAGAAGTCTCAAAGGTCTCAAAAGGACATGCTAAACTTTCATAGATTTCCAAAGCAATGTGGGTCATTTGGAGAAAGGCGTAGTGTCATCACTCTACTTGCCAATGTGGAAGTACAAGCCTCAGATTCCACAACAGATGTCCTTGTTCATATTGAACAACTTTGACCTTGTAGCCAAGGACAATGGTTTCGTTGAAGACGGTCAACCAGACGCCAAGAGGCTGCTCTGTGATGGTGTGAAATCCAGACCCGGCAGAAACCCACGAACCTAACATGGGAATGGGGCATACCGGCATACCGCATACTAAAAACTCCTGGCAATTTTTTCCAGGAATATGACGTAACTTGTTTGACCAACTGACAAATGTGGATTTGGGGCACCATTTTTGGACATTCACCACATGCGACCTCAAAACTAGAGGGCACCGAGGGATCCTCGAGCCGGCAGTTTGACTACAAGTACCCCGTGGTGTGTGGACATTCACCCACGTCAGTGTGGCCTGGACAAGACATCAATCGGTTTTTGACAGATTTTGGACCTATCCCCAGTTGTCAATTTGGACCTATCCCCAGGTGTCAATTGGATGAACCAAGCCCGGCAGGCCGGTGTCCCGCCCAGCACCCAAGCAGAAGGCAAAGGCGCGGATCTGCACCAGTTCCACATGCTCCAGAGGTCTATCCTGAACAGCTGGACTACATTCAATGGATCTCAGTGGTGAGGTTTTTTCTTCTTGATCTCTCAAAGTGAGAGACCTGGAACTTATGAAGGAAAACAAAGAAAAACAAGCTTTACCTTTTTGATAGGATGCCCAAAAGTGCGTTGTTGGTTCCGAAATGGAGGTTGCCCCAAGTGTATCAAGGTCCTTCCTTGATCTTGGTATGCTTGCCAAGTCCAAAATTAAATGTGTCGGGTTGACACAGGCGTCTACCACAGTCTTACGTAGATCAAATATCGTCACCTAATCCATCACAGAACGTAGCACAAATCAACATGTTGATGCCAGACTAAGTTGCCTAATTTTTTGTTGCCCGGGATGATCGATCTACAGGCGTCTGCCGCTCCTGAGTCCGGGCCATTTGGATCTCAGCCATTTGGGCCATTTGGGGACTTTCTGGGATGAACATCTGTAATGATCAGCCATTGATCAGCCATTTTGGATTGTTTTGGTATGGCCAGGCCAACCCGGGGACCAGGGTACCCGGCGGGTACCCTGGTCACATATTTTTGGTTGGCTTTTGGGGAGCTTCAGACCATTGGTCTTGCAGACCTTGGAGATTGCCTTTGTTGACCTGTGCATGTTTCCAACAGTGACAAGTGGATGTGCTGTTCTACACCTGGGACAGGGACGTGCATTCCTCCAACAATAATGCCGCATTGCCCATAAAATTGGATGCCCCAATGATTTGATGATGATTTGATCATGATTTTCGCAGGTTATCGCACATTTCAATGGCCATAATTCGGAAGCACCCCGACACACTTCACCTCCTGCCGGGAGACAGTCCCTAGGCTCGTTGACTCCCCACCTGCCAAAGAAACGCAGCGAGGAAAGGGCCCTGGCCTTACGGCAGAATCCAAAATAGTTGTTATATGGTTGTCATATGTTGTTGAATATACATACATACATTACATTACATTACATAACATTACATAACATTACATAACATAACATTACATTACATAACATTACATAACATTACATTACATAACATTACATAACATTACATAACATTACATAACATTACATAACCTTACATTACATTACATAACATTACATAACATTACATTACATCACATAACATTACATAACATTACATAACATTACATAACATTACATAACATTACATAACATTACATAACATTACATAACATTTCATAACATTACATAACATTACATAACATTACATAACATTACATAACATTACATAACATTACATAACATTACATAACATTACATAACATTACATAACATTACATAACATTACATAACATTACATTACATTACATTACATAACATTACCAATAACATTACATAAACATTACATAACATTACATAACATTACATAACATTACATAACATAACATTACATAACATTACATAACATTACATAACATTACATAACATTACATAACATAACATTACATAACATTACATAACATTACATAACGTTACATAACATTACATAACATGACATAACATCACATAACATTACATAACATTACATAACATTACATAACATTACATAACATTACATAACATTACATTACATTACATAACATTACATAACATTACATAACATTACATAACATTACATAACATTACATAACAATACATAACATTACATAACATTACATAACATTACATAACATTACATAACATTACATAACATTACATAACATTACATCACATTACATCACATTACATAACATTACATAACATTACATAACATTACATAACATTACATAACATTACATAACATTACATAACATTACATAACATTACATAACGTTACATAACATTACATAACGTTACACAACACTACATAACATTACCTAACATTACATAACATTACATTGCATAACATTATAACATTACATAACATTACATACTATTACATAACATTACATAACGTTACATAACGTTACATTAACGTTACACAACACTACATAACATTACCTAACATTACATAACATTACATTGCATAACATTATAACATTACATAACACTCCATACTATTACATAACATTACATTACACTACATTACATTACATA